TTAATAAGTAGATACTATACCTATATTTGTGCTTTCCGTTTCCTGAATAAAACGATATTTAATCTTGTTTGTTCATAGAGGGTGAAATTTTCGATGACATTGTTGTGAACAACATCTAGATTTTAATTCATAAACATGTTGGTATTTGACTATTGAAAGTAAAATTTTCAAAAAAAATTTTATTTTACAACTATCTTTACCCCTACTAGCATCAGTTATCAGTTTTACAAATAATACACTTCTAAGTATTTAATCTATAAACAATATGAAATCTACCATTTCCTTAATGAACGATACAGAGTAATTTAATAATAATTTACATGAGATAATGAACCAATTGATGTTAGACCACTGTGGGAAACCTGGAAGCACTGGAGTGCCAATTCTTCATAGTATGAGACTCCTCAGAAGTGTTCATTCACAACTCCGCACGCTAGATCCAAACCCACCACCTTAGGTCTTGACCGCAAACATTTAACTTTTAGACCATTGAGCTGACATTCAGAAGTGTTGATGTTTAACTTCAATCAATCCACGATGTTGTGCGATCGTCATTTATTGTTTACAGTGAGTAACTGTCTCACTCTAAACACGCATGTACTCCACTGGTCATTGCTTCTCATCAAAACTCTAGGAAATCCATCTTGAAGTTAGTCCGTAGTGAGCACATGATAATTATCATTATATGGCTGTGAAGTCCTATGCTAGGACAAAATGGCCATCTACTACTTTCAGCTTTTCATTGATGGTCTAACATCGATCAATTCATGATCTCAGTTCAAAATCAGCAATCCCCCCAATTCTATACTAATAATTTATATATATATGTGCAATCTATTGAATATTTTAATACAACATTTTTAGATTGATAAATACAAATTCTGAACAAAAACTCAATGAAAACTCTTGTTCATTCAAAAGTATCTTTTGTTTTAAAATATTGAATGATGACTTTGAAATTGAAATTATTACGAGTCAATATTTCTCGTTTTTTTTTTTAAAAAAAAAATAAATTTTTCATTTTCTTTACTACAGGCAAGCAATAAAAAAATTGCTAAACGTTATAAACGTTTACAACGAATACTCAATGCACAATTAAAACAACAACAACAGCAACAAAAAAGTGAAACTAATCAACAAAGTGTTCAGCGTAACAAACAAAATTACATTAAACAAAGATCACGTCGTTTAGCTCAATATCAACGTCGTCATAATCGTGCTAGTCAAGATCGTTATTATTATAGTGATTTAGATTCAACAAATGAAATAGTTGAAGATCATGATATAAATGAAGATGCTTCATCACATCGTAAAATAACACATAATTCATATGAGAATAATAGAGAAAATCATCATTCACAACAACAACAACAACATCAACAATATCGATATGATATAACAAAATCTTATTCAAATGTATTACAAACAAATAATCATCATTACTTAGATACAACATGTCAAAGACGTGAATTAATAATCAATTTTGATGCTGTTGGTTGGGCTGGTTGGGTTATTGCACCACAAGCATATAATGCACGTTATTGTTTAGGTCAATGTCCATTTCCATTATCAACTCATTATAATACAACTAATCATGCTGTACTTCTTCAATTAGTACATTTATTAGATGTAGCTAGAATTTCTGGTCCTTGTTGTGTACCACATAAATTATCATCACAATCATTATTATATCATAGTCAAAATGGTGATGTTGTACTTAGAGTTTATGAAGATATGGTTGTAGAAAGTTGTGCTTGTCGTTAATATAAAAAAAGAATACTGAATTACTATTACTATATCAAAGGTCATTATATATATGACAACAAAAAATAACTTCAACTCCAGTCGCTATTAGTAATATCATTTCTATTTGGAAAAAATCATTCATAACATTTATTATTCATTGTAATATTATATTAAAAACATTAATGAACATTGTTATATAATGAAAATACGAACATTTTTTTAAAATTCATTTAACTTTATAAATTTTCTTTTCTAATAATAAACAATCAATTATTGATCTGTTCTATCGTTTGTTTTTCTTTTTCTTTTCTTTATTATATTACTGAAATAAAATATTTTGATCTATTTTGTTTTTCTTTCAAAATAATTCTCATCATTAAGGAATGATTATACATAAATTGTATAACAAGTTCATAGCTTATCATTTGTTTTAATGTATCCTAATATATGACCTTGAACATTGACCTTAAAAATAACTTTTTTTGAAAAAAAAACACATTTAGTATATAATGAATTTGATTATAATTGATTAAACTACTTATTATTATATTAATATATATATACACTTTGTACAATTTTTTTTATCAATGAATATTCAATATTCAATCTATTTGACAATTATTATATATGTATAATTTATTTAAATATAACTATCTATATATTTTATTATTTAAAATGTATTTTATCATAATCATTCTATATTTATTAAGTAATTTATATTAAATCAAGATAGTTCATATATGAAATTTCATAACACACTATTGTTCATCTATGAATCAAAATGATGAATATATTCCAAAGTAATAGAAGTTTAGTATTCAAAATGTATTGAATTCTATAGACAAAATCAGTCATGTTTTTTTCTTCGTTTTTTCAAAAAAGAAAAGTTGTCCATCCTTATATCTCTACGTACTGATTAACTCACTTGTTAAGTCGTGATTTATAATTGGTTTTTATAATTTTTGAAAAAAAATCATAACAGGTCTTTTTATTATCATGAGTTCATAATGATAAACTATATAACAACTTTACATCATTCTTAAGTTTATTTATTTATTTAAACACATAAACATTTTTACAAATAGGTGCTACATAAATCATTTGATTTGTGTGGTATATGAGATACTGTTCAGGTGCCCAAACTGAAGCAGATGGTTTTCTTAGGAGGTCATATCCAGAGTCTTTGACCTAAAAGTCTGATCCACAAGGCAGTGGAACAACGTAAGGAGATGTAGTCCCATGGTAGATGGTGACCAACATTTGGTTCATAAATCATTTTTTCTTTCAGAATATTGGAGCTCATGTGCACCAATGGGTTTTAAATCAGTGTTTTCCAACTCCATTAGATGAACTATCCGTGTCCATCAACCCGGTTCAAGCACCGAACGTTCGCTTTTCGTCCTCTCAATTTCATAAACAACGCCCCCGCCGTGAGAAGGCAGTGGGTAGAACTTCTCTGGCAGTGGTTTTATGCACGTGGCCATATGAGAGCATTTCGAGAGGGAGAGCTGACTCTCCCTAATCTCGGCCATACCAGGGTATTTGGGGGCAATTCAAAAATTTACAGTTCATATGAATCAGTCTGTCAATTTTTCTATTATTACCGGTTAACTTTACTCATTAAAACAAAGGAATTAACACATAATCATAGAAAACAAAATATTTATAGATGAAATGTGTATGCCAACCAATTTAATCAATTTTAGTCGGTAAAATCCAAAGAAACTAAGATTAATAAGCTAATTCTACCTTATATCTTAGTTGACATTTATGTTTATGAATCAAATGAAGCGATTACCAAAAATGTTTATCTACTTTATCCGTTTTTAACCACCAACAGTCTATTGAATATAAAAGTTGAGTACATACATTCTTGAAATAATATCCTTCTAAACATTTTATAGGATAAAATTTTTAAAAAATGAAATCTTCGCAAATGAAAATAATAAACATATTATTATTGACTCATGAATTGAACTACTAAATTACTATAATATCTACTATACTCATCATATACTCACTAGTGACGGTCTCCAAGAGGTATTTCCTGAAGTGACCAGTGAAGTTCGACCGGGTTTGTTGTAAGATAGTAACTCACTGAAAACAATAGTGGAAGGTTACGAAATTTCGTGAATTAGTTGAAGTGAGACATTAACATCATTGGATGCCGTCCAGTTCAGTGGTGTATAGGTTAGGCGTTCGCGCGCAAGACCGATAGTTCCTGGATTCGAATCTTGCTGGGGAGGATCGTCATTGCGTACTGCTGAGGAGTCCCACACTGAGACAAAACGGCCATCCAGTGCTTCCAGGTTTTTCATAGTGGTTAAGCTTATGAATTCAACTACTAAATTATCATCATGTTCTAAACAAAAATATGAACTCATTTGAACAGTTACAAATTAGTTACCTTCTAAAATGTCATTCGTCTACTTTTATAAACTTGCATTCTATGAATTAGACTAAAATGAATTCATTACAATTGAAATTCATTTTTTAATATAAGTTTTAATTTGCTTCAGTTAGATTTTAAAGTATAACTTCCTATGTCTAATAGATTTTTTACCCATTATTTTATGCTTATTACCTTGAAAATGGTTTAATGATTGTAAAAGAGTTGAATAAATTGATTCCTATAGAAACAATATAATTAATAGTTAGTAGTGACATTTCCTAGACTATCCGATATATAATTTTAATAAAATCATTTTAAACCTGTAATGTTTATTTCATGATGGACTATTAAGATTAAAATGTTAATATTTCCTACTTTTATTTTTCTTAGCGATATATATTTCTAGATTATATCTATTTATTTAATTAATCATTTATGGAGATTGTATTATTGTAGCAGTTAAATTCACTAGTTAGTTTAAACTAGACCATCATTAAAAGCCTGGAAGCCCTAGACGGTTGTTTTGTCGTATTATGAGACTCATTGGCGGTGCACATCTACGATCCTGCAAGCGGAATTAGGATTCAGGGCCTTCAGTCACGTGCGTGAACGTCTGAACTCTATGCTACTGAGACGGCATCGAATGATGTTAATGTTTAACTTCATTAGATACATGATTTTGTGTAACCCTCTATGCATGCGATCAACTTTATTGCTAAGGATACAACTTAGTAACACTGTGTTGTGATAAGTACAGTAATTAGCTATTCATTCTGAAACATATTCAAGAAACTCAAGATGAGAATGAACAAGACTAACCATATGACATTCTTTCCTTCTTACGTTTTTTGAATTCTTTGTTTATAAATGAACATCATTTTGAGATTCATCTACTTTTACGAGTTTATTTTGGCAAACTAAATTATCAGAAGAAAAATATTTCACAGTATATATTACGCTAATGAAATGGATGTGTCTTTACCGAGGTTAAATACTTCTTTAGAAGAATTCTTATCTCCAACGTTCAGAGGTCATGCATAGGGTTTAACTCATATCTGATTGTTTATTCCCAATATTTTTATAACATGAATATGCTTTATAGGTATTTTGTTATTGATTAGCGTAAATTTGTGATGTATATATGTTGTATAAAATGAATGCACAAGCTAACTTGGATGGTACTTTATATTACATTAATGTATTCAAAATTGTTCAAATGATCATAAAACTTAGTTAGTAAATATTTACAAAGATGAATCTGTTATAAATAATGATGTCAATAAACTATGAGACTTTTACAAATAGTTTTAGATTATTATACTACATATCTATAACTAAATTTTAAAGGATGTTATTCGAAAGCAATTCATCAAAAGCCTACTATAACTTAAAACACAAGTGAAGTATATATGTCGACTATGGTTTATGACTGGAACATTTGGTACTTTTTTGGCTTAAAACCATGAATGATACAATGCAAGCAAAACGACAGATGAGAATTTATTATAAATTAAAACTAAATCAAAACGATACCTGACTGCAATAATTTTTACATGATAAAATTTACTGAAACATAATCAGTTGAATTCACAATAAATTATTATTGTTATATTTAGAGCTTAGATTCTTGATATACTGCATACAACTTGAGCATTCAAAAGCTAAAACCCTCCAAATTGTAAATGAGAAGACAGAAGACGAACAAAAAGGAATACTGTTTCAAACAGTACGAAATATGGTACAAAACTCTCAGGTATTAATAGTTTTTAATAAAAGCGAAATCATCATTATAGTTATCTAATACGCATACGATGATTTTTAGCATTTGTTAAATAGGGGAGCTACACGTCGATATTCTGGAATGTTCTTCTAAAAGATGATTGGATGAAATGTTTTCGGTTTTTTCTGAGTTTCTTAGAGCTTCCTCTAGTTCATCCGTAAGCCATCTTCACAATTATAAAAACCAATCGCATGAAAATCACATCAAGAAATCATTACATAATCTTACAATTTTCTCTTGTTTTATAAAATATGTTATAGTTATAAAAAAGAATATATTTATATTGATCCTAATAGGTAGAAAAATGAGATTTTATGATGTTTCGTAACTAAGAATAAGCCAGTTCTTTAGAAAATAAATTTAGAAAATATATTTTAGGAAAAATAAGATTTTTGATTCAATGTTTATCAACATGAAAAACACTGGGGTTTTTCTTTTGTAGATTTAATTACTTTGTATACAAATACCTTGTTTTTAACTTTAAAAAAATAATAATGTTGATACTTTATTTTTTTTATTTTTAAGCCACGAAGGTCATATTAGACAAATACATTATCCACTTAATTAAATCCATGGATACAAATATGTTGTAGTTAAGTAGAAATATCTTATGTTTTGTTTTAATATTTCATTTTATATTAATATCAAATCACTGAATAATCTGAACTCATTAGTCAATCATAATCTCTCATACAAAAGTGTACTAAGCTTCAAAAACAATCCTTTGTTTTCAAACAATTTAGCGTTAGATATAAACACTAGTATATTACAATTCTAAGAAAAAAAGATATTGATTATGTGAATTAGTTTTACACGACATTTGAAGGAAAGAAAGAAAAATACGAATAAAACAATATTTGAATAGCATATTATACAAGTTTTATTAACAATGTTTATCATTTCGAAGTAAATCAAACATAATATCTCAATTAATAATAATAATAATAATAATAATAACAACAGCAGCAACACAGCAACGACAACACAGCAACAACGGCAACAATCATAATCACTATTAAAAAAAAAACTAAAAATAATTCATAGATTTTTCACATGGTAACATTATAGTGGTAAACCATGTGAAATTTGAGAAGCTATTTATTCAATCATTATGATTAACATTTCTTTTTATTAAATATCTATTCTTAAGTACCATTAAATACAAGTCACTATTTGAATACAACATAGTACTATAGATAATAAAAAGACTATTATATATATTAAATGTTTAGTTACACACATATTTTCACACCCTAATTTCTAAATGAACATAATTGTAA